GACGCATCCTTGGTAATCACGTGATCATGCTGTTGACTGCAGCGATTGGCTGATCGCTTGGTTACACTGCCACGTCTTAATTTTTTTTGACCTTTTGATATAGAGTTTGTAACCTTAGTAACGGGTGTCAGTGCAGCGAAGGGTTACCTCAGCGGACCATTTTGAGAAAAGCGAGTCAATTGGTAGCCTTTCCCTTGTTTTTTGATTCATAACCGTTGATATTTGTGACTTTATAATCATTGTATTTAGACTTATAATCAGTTTATTAATCAGTGTATTTTACTCTTTTGATTTATACCTTTATTAGTATTGTATTTAACCCGTATAACGATGAGTAGCGTACGGTATCTTTGATTTATGAACGTGTTATGCCAGGAGGCATGGCTCAGTTTGAGTGAAGGGATGTGTGATGAATTTGTTTTTGCGTATCTGTTGACTGACTTAATTAGTTGATTACGAGTGAATGGCTGTGTTATGTCTGTCATCGTTTAGGCCATGTGAGGTTCCGGACAGAACTCGACTCAGTGATTTGGAACTAATTACAAGATAACCGTCGCTATTCGGACTACTATTTCTGACAGTTGGTATTCGCAATTACTAATATAGTGAACGATTAATCAAAAGATATGACGTGTTCAGTGCTTAGTGTGATTGGCTTTATGATTGAAGGTTACGCCCCAGTCTTTTTACTGCTTTGTAATTGGTTAAGGTTTTGAAAATGAATAAAGAGTTGTTTTAGTTGGTCTTGGCGAGTACACCAGAACAGACGCAGTTCTGGAGAGTCTTGGGACGAGTCTTGACCCAGTCTTGGGCTAGTCTTGACGCAGTCTTGGGACAGAGTCTTGGGTCAGTCTTGCGATAGTCTTGGGGACTTTTCCCCAGGGCGATGTGTCTTATAGATGAATCACTGTCAGAGGTTTCTGGATATTTCTATGTGGATACTGTCTTTATTTCGATCTAGGTTAGTTGTCGCCTTTAATTGCAATCTATCTCGTATATGCTCTCTCATTCAGCATCCATGTGAGATATGAATTGAATAAAGAGTGGTCTATTATGGTACACTTTGATGGTGGCTTACTATGTTTGTTAAATGTACTTGGGTGGTCTTGTCTTGCTCCTTATCTGCATAGAAAGGCTTTTTCTTATGGATATGCTAGTTTCAGACATTGAAACCACATTTTCCTTCATAACATTGCTTGAATGTAGGCTTATGAATGATTTGTTGAATTTGATAAAAATCCTATCATTTTTATTAATATCGAATTTGTTCAAATTGATCTTAACTGTTCCTCTTCATTTCTTTACAGAGATTTATTACTATAATCATTACTATTGGTGTACTTTGCTATCATATTCATAGATATGCCATAATTGTAACCTTAGTATATTAATGATTCCTTTGTTCACACTCCTTGGCTGTAATGGCTGTTGTAATATGCATTTACGTCATACTGATATGCCATTTGTGCAATATTTTTATGTTATTTCCATGGGATGAATATAAGAACTCTTATCATACGCTGCACAAACATTGTAGTTCTTTAATTCAATTAATAAAAGCTTGTGCACAGTAATTATAAAGATAAGTAGCGATAACTCGTAATTGTATTCGCATCATCGTTTTCACAGGGGATGTAAATTTAGCGGCTACTGGACAATGTTTCTGTTTATTGTGTATCTTTTGATTCATTTATATCTTCTAAGCAATCAGACATTAATAGTAAATGTCAACTCCTAATTGAAATATTAAATGTCACAAATAGCAGATATCAACAACTTTTATTGAACGCCTACTTTTAAATACAACTGGATATGGCCATAGCAAATAAAGCATGATAAATTCACGCAAAAATTTACTGCAAATGGACGCAAGGTGATGGACGTTTCGGCCTATTAAAGTAGAGTTCAATGGTAAGATGATCTTAGAAACGTAATAGACTATATATTAAATATTTCTGTAAACAACTGTATGCCAACATCACTTAATAGAATATATATTTAATATTTCTAGTCGCATTTTTGAATAATTTCATTAAATAGTTTAATTACTGTCTAGTTTTAAAAAAAAATTACGGGAGGATAAATATTTTAATCTTCTTGAATTAGAACTTCAATTCTCAACATACAAAACATATCACATATGTACATGTAGGTAATGCAGTTATGGGGTATGACTGTTTGTTATATTTTTTTTTTTTGCTGTCAACTATAGTGCTCCTTTCGATAGTCGAATCTTAATGCCTGGTGTGTATTTTATAATAACTTGTTTCGCCGTTTTTGTGACCTTGCTGTACCATATAAGACATTTAAATACATGTACTTGTATTTTTACTTAAATTAAAACCAAGTAAATATATACAACTAAAAAAACAATGGATATCTAAATGTCCATGTAAAATTGCACATGTTTTGTTTACTGGCCCAAAAAAATCACAATTTTCCACTCCAGTATAAAACTGAATATCTTTAAACAAAGCTTTACTGCCAACACTTATTGTTATGAAATACCTGATATCAACACGTATAACAAAAGGTGTGAATTTCACAATGACAGAAAATCATTATGTCCTCTTATGCCCATTACGTATATTAACAATATAAACGATGCTTTCTTATACGTTTACTTGATCAAATTGGGAGATATTTCTGTATGGCTTCACTAATGTCTGCAACATTACTTGTAACGCTAATTTCAAATACTGAAGATCGTTTATTATACACTAGAGTATCACGGGTCGAAACATACGCCCTGGTCGAAACACTTGGCCGAAACATCCGCCTGGTCGAAACACTTGGCCGAAACATCAGCCCTGGTCGAAACAAAACACTGCCGAAACGTACGGCATCCATTTTTTTTCACATCTGTTTTTACGCTCACATAAATGTTATCCTTGATCAGAAAATGCTAATAATTGGTTATGATTTAACCACAATATTATATTATATTATATAATATATTAATTCATCTGCATTCATCTACAATTTGATTATTACTTTTACAGTTTTGACTGATCTTCAAATAGCTTCCCAGCCTTCTCTAGCAGCATAATGTTTCCAGTGAATTTCAGCTTTCCACTTGCAAATGCCTGAAAAAAAAAATTCAATCAGTCCTATTGAACTTTAAAAACACGTTATGCTGAGTATTACATCAAATTATGCAAATTTTATAAATAAGTATATAATAAAAAAACATTTGAGGTCAGTGAAATTTCATCAATAGGTTATCACATGAGCCAGATAACTCATAGTTTACCCCACATAAGATGAATTTTAAACATCAGAATGGGTGCAAATAGATTTTGAATGACTGCAAACAGCTTAAATAATCCAAACACAGCTGGAATGGGCCAAAAAACAATTTGAACAAGACAAAAATTATTTGAATGAGTGGCAAACACAGTTTGAATGAGTGGCAAACACAGTTTGAATGAGTGGCAAACACAGTTTGAACGAGTGCAAACACAGTTTGAACGAGTGAAAACACAGTTTGAACGAGTGCAAACACAGTTTGA